TTTTTTTTTTTTTTTTTTTTTTTTTTTTTTTGTATTCAACCATATTTTATATTTTTATTTTCTAGCATTTATTTTACAATTATTTGTCCTCTCCTCACCTCCTCCCGCCCGTCCTCTCCCGGCTCCCTTTGTTAGCAAAAGAAAAAACCTTATTGGCTAATTTAAATTGCTGAAAATTGAGTATTGTGAAGCTCGATCAATCAGTTTTTATTACTACTGTTTATTATTATCAACTTTTATTACTAAGTTTGTTTTAGGATAAACAACAATGAAGGTTTCTGAGGAATAATAAAAACTTGACAAAAAAAAGTCGATATTCCTTTTTTTTTTTTTCTTTTTTTTTTATTTTGTTTTCCCAGTATGATGTAACCTAACTGTTATCAGCTAAACTTCATGTAAATTTTGGCTATTTCTATCAGATTGTTCGTTTTAATTTTTTATTGTTGTTTTTTTACCCTGTCTCTGACTGTCACCATTATTATTGCTGAATTCTTTCGTTTGCTCGTCTGTGTGTGTGCTGTTTGTGTTCGCGTTCGTTTTTTTTTTAATATTCTGTTTTTACACTGATTAAATGTGGTTTTTTTTGTCATCATATAGCTCTTCTTGTCGAAGTAAATGATTTGAATAAATCAAAAAAGAAAAATATTGCTTCTATGACACAAATATTTATGATCGAAGCCTGAAGAACTGTTGCTGCGACAGTTGACTGAAGATGCTACGTAAAGTAGCGTAATAGTTGGAGCCTCGCTAAAACATCTGAAAGTATAGCATAAAGGCAGATGCTATCAGTTCTATTTATGGTTAGCGCACAAAGATAACGCATAATTGTTGAAGTTTAAACAGGAGGAAGTCTTATGTTTATTTTTCTTCTAATTCACATAATAATTTAGCTAGTTTGGTGTTACTTTTTTGTTGTTTTTTTCTTTGACGAATATATACTGTATGAAAACCTAAGAAAAGAGCTGAGGCAGATAGTAGACAACATCCGAATTGAATACGGTAACAGTTTTGTCTTTTTTTTTTTGTTTGAGGCAAAACAATGGAGCAATAAATAATACAGTAAAAGAAGGGAATGAGAAATCGAAAAAAAAGAGAAAACAGAAGGGGATTTTTAGAACTGCTGCTGTTGTTGTCGTTATATTGTTGTTGAGCATTTTGACTGGCATCTATCGTCATCGTGTACCGAAAAAAAGATGGATCTTTATGATTCAATGAAATCTGCCCATGATTAGTCAACAACTACAATAACATCAATATCAAAGCTATGAAATGATTAAGTCATTGCTGTTGTATTGGTATCAATTTCTATTACAGCTGTATACGTAAAGTCGTCATAGCAAAAAAAATGTTTTTGAGTGTTGTCAACAAATGATGATTTGGGATCTATAGGCAGTAAAACTGTGAAATTAGACAGTTAACAGACAACCTAAGTGAACGCAAGACGCTTCCAGATCTGCTCGCCAGACAAGCAGCAGATTTTTGTGAAGCTTATCAACGTAGTAACTAAACCCTGTGGATCTAACTACACCTAAGATTGCTTTGCGGTTGAAGACGACAATTATCAAGGACACCATCTAAAATATTCATAATTAGCAGCTAGTATACCGGTTTATTAAAAAAGGGAAATTTGGTTTAGATTCTGTTTTTAAACAACGGAGTATTCGTATGATCTGTTTTTTTATAAT